TGGTTAAATATGGCATAGCATTTTTAATTGGTTGCATCAGTCAATTTTTGGTTGTGTTAGCCTATCGAAATCCTATACTGACATTGCGGATAGACTAACGCAACCAAAAATTGACTGATGCAATCAATTAAAAATGCTATGCCATATTTTACCATCTAATTTACTGCAGCAGCCAATCTTTTTTTCAGTGTAAGAATAAGAATTTCTTAGTATATAGAGTATATAAATGAAGAAATTTGTATTCTTCGTTTATGCAAAAGCAACGGTTATGAAGAACGACGGACGAATACTGTCCCATGACTTTGTAACTTTTTTACAAGTTGTGTAACCTTGTTACAAGGCAGACGCATTGTACTTGATGCCGTCAAACGAGACATCGCTTCGACTATTTGTCGTACTTTCTGACTGAAAAAATAGCGATAACAAATCATATGTTGTTTGATAAATAAGAAGGCGATCCATGCTGTTACATCATGATCATGATCGTGACTGGTGGGTTTTTTTAAATGCCGTCCTTGAAACGTATCTAACGCACGGATGCAACTCGACGATCCGTTCATTCGCGAGAAACTGTACCTCCCGTGAAAAGTATACACCGAGTTTTTCGTAATCTAATTATTCTTTGTTATTTTTGTTTGACGGATGTGCAAGTAACGTTTTTTTTTTTATTTTAAGCCGCGCTTATTGCGTGTGTCAACCATTTATTTGTTACGACTTTTGGATTATACTCACTGATAAAGAGAGTCATTTGAAATTTTAATTGTTTTAGATTATATAATTAAATGATTGCTGAAATGCGGTTTTATGATATCAGTTATATCAGTATTTTTATAATCCCATTTTATATATATATATATTTATTTGTGACACTAAACATAAAAACCGATATTTTTGAATGCATGCACTACACCTATAACACCGCAGCTGTATATAGGCAATATATGATATTAGCAAATAATTGCAGATGGTTCCGTGCGGTCTTCGAAAAATCTGCAACGTAAGAACAAAAAGAATTTTCTGTTCCTTATGTGTTATTTCGATGTGTTCTTGGCACCCGATTTAAATTATCGAATTGACTAGAAATAACATATCATCGATGATCTTTTACTTTCGCTTTGCTGTATGTTTAATAGTCGATCGAATTAATCACACTGAGAAAAACGTCTGGTTGGATTAATTGGAATTCTGGTTGAAAATGGAAGAATCAAAATTTTCTGGTTAAATCTACTAAATTCTAGTTGAGGTAACTGGAATTCTGATCGATATAATCAGTTTTCTGTTTCATCCATTTGCAATCAGACATTTTTCTCACTGCATTGAATGACAAATTCATAGTTCCTATTAATATTCATTCAGAAAAGAGAACATTTTATTTTATTCACACATCTAAATTATTCAAAGAGATAAGTCTCATTTTGCTTTTATTATTCTCACGAGATAAGATGATATATTTATGCTTTTTTAGTTTATTCATTTATGTAATGATGTATTATACAACACAAGCTATACAGCAGAACTTACTACGAATTTTATTTTAAATTTTAAGTGAATAGAGTAGGCTTTTCTTATTTGATATAATAAGGTAAAATTTGACAGACATTTGACGCTTAAACTTCGATCGAAAATTTTTCAATTATTTTGTAGGAAAATTTGTTTTTTCTCTTGCCAAGTTTTACGTTACGAGTAGAGAAATATTTTTATATTTTTCTCTCTTAGCTCATAACTCGTAGGATGACATGATTGACATAATTAAATTGCGTGCACTATTATTTCATTATCTCTAGTATGTATTACAACTTTTTTCTATTCCTCATTATCTTATGTCATGCAAGTCCCGCGACACAAGATACAGGGTATAACTGAAATAACGCTCACTAATCATACAGTGCTATTCCTAATAAAAAACTAAATCGAAAAGTCCTCTACCATTTTGCAATTTTCGTAATAATTAACGAGATATTAATTTCTAAATATTGCCGAATAAACGGATAAATTCGATGTATAAGACAATTTGGAGATATCTTTCCGTGTTCTTTGTGAAATATTTTGAAAACTCTTCTTAAAGAACTCTTAAAGATATCTTAAACTTGTCTTATATGTCGATTTTAGACATTTTGCTCATTGGATAACTAAAAAAAATATTGCGAAAATTGCAAAATGGTAGAGGACTTTTCGTATCAGTTTTTTATTGGGAATAGCACTATATGTTTAGTGGGCGTTATTTCAGTTACACCTTGTATAATAATCTCAACATGTGTTTTTTGAAACAATATTACTCGTAACATAACGCACGTGTTATGTTTTTGCTTCTCATGTTTTATGAAATATAAATTATAACCGTCCATCACATGTTTAGCAGTTGCTATAAAAAGGAATGACATAGTCAAATCAAGAGAATCTCGCATCACTAAATTTTTTCTGCTTAATTTGATTTTTAAAGTAATACAGACCGCGCACGTTACATAATTCTGCATCGCAAATGCTATTCGCGAATGTCGGAGATATCGCGGAAAAACGCGTTAATTGTCATCACGGTAGCTATTAAAAACGCTGTTTCTTATCTGCGACTTCGCGCTACATTTTTTTTATTCCTCGTTAATAACGTAGATAACTACTAGGTAAAATGTGGTAGGAACACACTCCAAGAGTCGACTGCTGTCGTGACGTAAGTCCTTTCGGCGATCTGGATAAGATTTCACGAGAATGGATAATGAATGACTAAGACAAATACATTCCTCGCGTACGGAATCGATCTGTTAAAAAATACTTTTGCGCTTAGCAATTCAATAATTTTCGCGTTACTTATCATTTTGAGTGTCTTTAACGTAATAAAAATGTATTACAATTTTTTTTATTCCGTCGATTGTGTATCGTGATGGATCGTCTACGAAAACGTCATCTCCATTCTGAGGAAAAAAACACTGTATCAACTTCATTTATCTGTAACAGGAAATTTTGTTGATATAGTTTTATATTCATTTCTAATATAATAGAATGTATCTTACTATATCTTATCTTTTTTATATATTATTTTTATAATATTATATTATAAATTTGAATGTAAAAATCGTATGAAAGTTGAGCTGAACAATGTTTTGACTTTTTTATCCACAATTGCCAAACATGTGTTAACATTCATCAAGGAAAATTACACGTTTTCACGAACGATTTTTACGAACATTTTTAAAACTATTTGTACTTAAGAGACGCGATGGCAGATATTCGTACCTATAACATTGATATCGCAAGCATTACGTAATTATGATAAACTCTTTGATAACAACGTTGACAATATAGTGTGAATACAAGGATGTATTCTGATGCTACAAGGTATCGTAATAAGGAAAAGAATTTATATAAGTATAAAGAATGACATCTTTTTATGAGAAAAAAGACAAAATTTTAATAGCATTCGCTATCAAAACATTCAGATATTCTATATATTCCGCTTTATTAATTTTTATTGTTATAAAATTATTGTTATAAAATAATTATTGATATAAAAAAAGTATATTAAATTATATTAAAGTATATTTAATTAATAATACTCTAATATAAGTGTATAATTAACGGATTAATTTCCTTAATGCGAAACTATATCTCATTTAGTGAAAAATATTTTTCTACTATTTCGTGGAACTCATGATCTCATATTCACCCATTATTCTTTTGATGTCACAAGAACTTTTTGTTCACATGTTCTACTATTGTCTTATAACGCGATTCACGAACACTTTGCACGCTTTTTACCTTTGAGCGTCAAGCGAGAAACAAAGTAATTTCGACCGCATCATTAATTTTTTTTTACGTTTGTAGGTGATGAACCAAGAGGTCAAAAAGGAGACTCCACTGCAGTTCAAATTCCGTGCAAAATTCTATCCCGAAGACGTCGCCGAGGAATTGATACAAGATATTACGCTACGACTTTTTTATCTTCAGGTAAAAAATTATTATTCACATTTAGTCATTTCGCGTCTCTCTCTCACTCCCACTCTCTCTTTTATCTATCTATCTATCTCTATCTCTCTCTCATTCACTCACTCACTCATTCACTCACTCTCTCACTCTATCTATCTATCTCTTCACTTGCAATTTTTAATTTGCTGCTTTCACTTTCAAATTAATTTCGAGACTTATGATTGATGTCCAGAACAAATGGATCTAACATAAAAACAATGCATATCTTATTTGTTGGTCGGATTAAGTCATGCATCGAACTATCGTTCGTTTATCTGATTCACTTTTTCCCGTCCACTATTTCATCCTCTGTGGCGGGTACGCGAACATGGAATGCGCATCAATTTTTTGCTCAGTTGAACCAGACAAATATATTAGTGTTTAAGAACGATGCTTCGCGAAATTAACGAAATATCATTCACAATTTGAAATAATATCTCGAATAAATGTACAATAAAATCTGTATTTTTCTCATATTAGTTAATCAATATTTTAATTGCTTATAGGCTTATATAATAAATAGCGATCTTATTATTGAATTTTGTGACAGTATTAAATCGATATTGCTGTTAGATTAGAATTAATTAGAAAATTTTAAGCAATCGATGTTAATGTTTGAATTGATTGCAGGTGAAAAATGGTATTCTCACGGATGAAATATACTGCCCACCGGAAACTTCCGTTCTGTTGGCTTCGTATGCCGTTCAAGCGAGACATGGAGACTATCAGAAGGGAAATCATCCCGCTGGCTTTCTGTCAAATGATCGGCTGTTACCACAGCGTGTTGTGGATCAACATAAAATGAGCAAGGAGGAATGGGATAACTCTATTACAAACTGGTGGCAGGAACACCGTGGTATGTTGCGAGAGGACGCCATGATGGAGTATCTGAAAATTGCTCAGGTATCTGTTAAATAGCATGAACAGGATGTAAATGCAAAATATATATGGCGAAAACTTCAGGAGGGATTGGATATTCTGATATACATCGTCGATATTTATACGGATTGCAAAATTATTTTAAATTATTTTATTTTCGCATTATTTGCATTCTATATTAGAAATTCCTATTTGTCTTTAAGAAATTTTATTTATGTAAAGTATTAAACTTGTACTGCAATCCGTTTTCTGAAGGCTTGTACATTTGTGAAGCAACAAACATTTTTAATTATACTTTTTAATTACTCGCATAATATTGTATTTTAACTCCATGTTTATTTATGACTTAGTATTTTTTAACCAGTTTTGCGAAGAACATTATGCGAACTCCATTACTGTACTCGGAAACATTTTTATCATGTGAAAAATTGTAAAATACTATTATTCTTGGACTAGTATCATTGGTATCGTTTTAGTATTTTCTTTCATTTTTGCTTTCCATAGGACTTAGAGATGTATGGTGTGAATTACTTTGAAATTCGCAACAAGAAAGGCACAGACCTTTGGTTGGGTGTGGATGCTTTAGGTTTGAACATCTACGAGAAGGACGATAAGCTCACGCCGAAAATCGGCTTCCCCTGGTCCGAGATACGGAATATCTCGTTCAACGATAAGAAATTCATAATCAAGCCAATCGACAAGAAGGCACCGGACTTTGTATTTTTCGCCAACAGAGTCAAGATTAACAAGAGAATTCTTGCGTTATGTATGGGCAATCACGAGCTTTACATGCGCAGACGTAAGCCAGACACGATCGACGTGCAGCAGATGAAGGTAAGAACATTACATTATATCACATTGAAGATTACGTCACATAAAATTAATGAAACATAATTATTAATGCATATACTTATCTAAAGTTGATTATATAACGTTATAATTAGCAATACGTATTTTATATCACTTTACGTAACCATTATAGCATATTGAACATTTATTTAGGAGTTAAAATAGCAATCTTGTGATTGTTAGGATCCACTTTAATTAATTGTAATAAACAATAAAATATATTTATTATTTATTCTGAAATTGTAACGAGATTGCAATAAAATTTTTACAGGCTCAAGCAAGAGACGAAAAGATGGCGAAACAGCAACAGAGAGAGAAATTGCAATTGGAGATAGCTGCCCGAGAGCGTGCGGAGAAAAAACAGCAAGAATATGAAGAGAGGCTAAAAAATATGGCAGAGGAAATGGATAGGCGGAATGCTGAGTTGAACGAAGCTCAGGAAATGATTCGGCGCTTGGAGGAGCAGCTGAAGCAATTGCAGGCTGCTAAGGAAGAGCTAGAGAATCGTCAAAAGGTTAGCGAGTCTATTTAACTATGAGTTAAAAAAAAATTATCATTACAATTACCATCAATGAGCGATTAATTTTTTATTTTTATTTTTTTATCCTTCATTTCTTACTTGAGGGAACATGAAGTTCAAACTACGAGTCATCCTATAAGATATAATATTGATGTTTATTGTTCGCTCAAGTAAAATGTATAAGTTTATCAGAAACGCTGATTTGATTTTTCCATCATAATATAATTTTTCTGCGCTACGGATTTGTGAGCATATGATAGTGATAACCGTACAGAATTTATGACTCTTGTGCATTAAGACAATTACGGCTGTCTGTGTGGTCAAATTGGAATTGAAAAATGGCACTTGGTTAACTCAATGTTTCTGTGATTCTATAGACGAAAAATTTGAGAACTACTGAAGGATCCTACAATGTACACATATTCACAAATCCAATTTTACAAATGCAAGTTTATAAGTAACATACAAAAGTTGTGATCGTTACAATATTAATATGTTTAAACATTTATGTTTATTATATGTTTATCATATTATTAAGTTTATAATATTATTAAGCGACAGTTTTATATAAAGATTGTCTGTCACACCAATGTGGACTTTAATGCTCTTTTAATTATTTAATTTATTTTATAAGCTGTTATTTGAATTGTTTTTTGTAATTTGTGTTGTGTGTGACATAGGAATTGACAGCAATGATGGAGAAGTTGGAACTATCGCACGAAATGGAGGCTGCAGAGCGCGCTAAACTCGAACAAGAAATAAGAGCCAAGCAAGAGGAAGTACAACGCATACAATCTGAGGTGGAGGCTAAGGATGCAGAAGCTAGGAGATTACAGGCTGAGTTTGAAGCTGCCAAGTACGACCAGTTTTCTTCTTTTTCTCATCGTTTGTTTCTTAATTAACATAATTGAGGATAATTGCGTATTTATCGTTTATTATGCAAGATTAAGACAAGAAGAAGCTGACCGACAATATCAGGCCAATCAGACTCCGCATCATCATCACGTCGAGGAGAATGAAGAGGGTGAGGAGGAAGGTGAGGACGAAGTTCCTCAAGGAGATGTTACTAAGGATCTCCTGACTGACGAGTCAATAATCGATCCTGTCGGGGAGCGACGTACTTTAGCGGAGAGAAGTGAACGTCTTAACGATCAGTTGAAAGTACGTTGATATTCAACGTTAATATATTTTATTCAGATTTGATTTCTTATTTTAAATAACTTTGTAATTTTACCCAGTTAAAACTTCTTTTTAACTGTTTTTATTCTTTGAAATGTGGAAATACGTTCTTAAAATTTGATGTAAACTTTGCAAAAAATTCTGCTGTATACACTGCTACAATGAAATGCTTTCATTGACAGGCATTAAAGCAGGATCTCGCTCAGTCGCGCGACGAGTCCAAGGAGACGGTGATGGACAAGATCCACAGGGAAAATGTGCGTCAGGGCCGCGACAAATACAAGACGCTTCGCGAAATTCGCAAGGGCAACACCAAACGCCGCGTTGATCAATTCGAAAACATGTAAATTAATGTGCGTGCATCTAATCACTTACCTTATACATGTCCTTTTCTACCTTCAATTTCTCACCTGACTTTGCGAATGCGAGGAATGCACTAAAACGATAATGAGAAGGAGAGAAAGAAAGAAAGCGATTAATAAGATAGAGAGAGAAATAGAGAGAGGTATAGATTCTACAATAAATGTATAAATAGAATAATTTGAACAATAGCAGACACACATTGTCAATCAATTACACTTCAACTTTTCTCAAAAATTGCGCGAATGACAACCGTGATACTATCGTATATCGAGAATTATAATCAATATTTACGCCTACATTAGCTTGATGACAATTCTATACCCTCACGCAAACTGATAATCAAAGATTTTACCTTTTTGGTAAGGAACGCGACGACAGTGAGCGACTCGCGCGCCGTCTTCCACATATATACTTCCACGTTAATTAATGCTGCATAATTGGCTCTATCGCGAAATCGTCACCCGTCACTCAGGAGCGCGAGTAAATTTTCTCGCTACTTAGCGCAAAAGTGCCTTGCATGTGAAGCTAGTAATTTTTCTTGTAACTATCTCCTAATAGCAAAAATTAATATTATTATTACTCTAATAAAAATTTAGCGTAATGATATTCTTGTTTCGATAAAGGTACTTTGCGCCCAAGTGACAAGAAAATTTCCGGTAGTGAATTCGTTACCGTTACTTAAAACTTTCTCGGCGCATCGATGAATCAACATCTCGACTATTGAGGTGCTAGTATTGTCTCGCCTCACCATAAGTATTACTGCCGGTCATTTATTCGCGTTGCGAAACGCCGATACTTAACTGCTGGTTATCTACCGGTGCCCTGCCCGTCGCGGTTTTTATCGCGCCGTCATGCGATATCGTCCGTCCTCGGTAATAAGGATTTATTTTCGAGAAGCCATCAACGCTATCATCACCATTTACACTTCAGCTGATACATCGTGACGACAATTGCGGTCGTTACCTGTTTACGAACGGTTTTCTTCTATTGTATGTTTAATTCGGACCCCTCCATATTTAAACAAAAGGATATACGTTCGGGGGAGTTACTTGACATTTATTAGTTGACCGGCGATTTGTAACTACACCGAATATTGATCATAGAGGAATCGAAATGGAGCACATGGCTTATATTGTAGCGAGTTAGATAGAAATTTAGATAATCCACTTTAAAAAGTTCGTATTGGGTCAGCGACCGTTCCGAACAAGGAGACATTTCATCCGGTTTTATTTTTGGTTTTTAAAGATTAGTTTAGGGTTTTCTTGAACAATATTATTTATCGAATAAGTAATTAATTTTATGTATATATGTATGTACGTATACATATATATACGTATATTTAGAGAAAAATCATATGCGAACAGATATGAATCTTTAATATGTATATTGCGTTTCCAAAATTTCCATATTTCTTTTTTTGAAATGAATATTTTACTCATCGCATTTATAAATCGCATATCACGAGTGTCCCCTTGTACATTACACACAAATCACTATTGCGGCGCAATCCGTCATTCCGGATTAATAAACGTAAGCAATTCAACGATGGCATGGCCTATTTACTATCGATAAAACTGTATCGAACTATTTTCGTACGAACGAGTTTCGATAACACGTTAGCGATTTTATATTGAACACACTCGTGGCCTTTACTTGATATACATATAAATATATAAATATATATATATCTCGAAGTACTATAGGTAGTACTAATATAACGACTAACCGAGAGAAAGAGATGTAAAGATATCGCGCCATAGAAAATTGTTCTGCATACCTTCAATACAAGATCGAACCGCGCGGTACCCGCCGAATGGCTTTAGCTACCAAGATTTTCGAAAGAATGATGGAACGAGTGCGAGAGAGGGAGAGAATGTGATAAGGGAGATAATTAACCATGTGTGTGCGAGAAAGAGAGAGAGATGCCGAGTGATAGAGAAACACATTTATGGCGGTCATATGCCATTGTAATTTTAAAAAAATCTTTCGCCCTTCAGAGAATGTTTTGTGCGCAACGGGATTAAAACTAACGAAAACTCGAACCTCGAGACGCTGCCAATTTTTCACACGACGGAATACAAAATGAACAGCGATAGCAAGTGTGATACGGACAGAACGTGTATGAATTTCACGTAGGAGAGAAGATCGCGAAGTAATGTAAACAGTCGTTCCGTATCACGGAAAAATTTGTACTTTGCTACATAATTATCATACGCCCGCGCGTTACAACAATATGCGAAGCAGAAAGGAGGAAAAAATACAGAAGTAATAACGCGATAGATATTTTTTGATTATATTTAATATTAAAAATTTATATACAAATTAGTAGTGTTATATTATTAATATTAATGTTTACACTCTAGTAGCGTTATTATTATTTTATTATTATGCAGATAATATTGAACGAGAACTAAAGGAAAGCATTTTATAGTCATCAATTTATATTCTTAAGATAATCTAGCACGTAAATTTGGTCGTAATTTACAATAAAAGAAGGACATTTATAAGTTCATCCTTTTTATTCAAATTATTTTTAATTATTTTCTGAATTCAACAATAAAATAATTTTTTACAGGCGAATATAATTTGAGAAAAGTTCGAATCTTTTTTAAGTTTACCATTTTTGAGTGCATAGATTTGCGACCAGATATATGTGCAAACAAGATGAAAAAAAAACAAGATTATTATTAATTAAAGACATCGCACGATACATTTCGATAATCGATGAAATGGGCGAGGACAAGCTTGAAAGTTCGTCTCGATACTCTTTGGCGATTAAACGCTTTGGCGAAACCGATGAATTTTTATTGAGACATTCCAGAAGAATTCCCCATAAAGTGCTTCCCACCCCTCGACTTATTTTATTTCATCGATTAATAGGATTAGATTCATTAGATATTCGATTCGAACTGTCGATTTGGAGATCGCGCCTTGACCTTCTTCCTTCCTTCGCAAAATTTCATGTTTTCATTTGTCCCCTGGAACGTGCTTAACTCTAGGATACGACTTAATTTCTGCATCACATTTGCAAAATATACATGACAAAATGTAAATTCAATATAAGCGAAAAGCGAACTCGTTCTTTTGTTTCACGACGTTTATCACTTCACTATTTTAAATAAATTGAATGCGTACAACTAAAATTGTAGGTTTGTCTAATTGGAGTTAGAATAACTATTAAGCATCTAAAGATAAATTTAAGAAAGCCTTAAATATAAGATCTGACTATGAATACGGATCTTAAATCTTTTAGGATGGAAAGATCTGAGATCTCGGCGATCCCTTTAGGAAATTTCAACGTATATTGAGACATCGTATATTGCGTTCAGAGTCACTTTCCTCGAAGGATCCTCGAAGTGCCTCCTAGAGTTAAATAACGTTACCAAGTTCATCGCACGCCGCCACAGACACGAAAGTAGGTCTTAAAGTAGCAAAATCTACCAAAATGTACCGTATGTCCCTCATGAAAGTACCACACGCACGTACATACATATACATGGGTGCTATAGCATTTTCTCCTTCCTGAAACACATCGAAATGTGTATATTTGCGTCAGGCATGCGTTTCGTTCCTTTTTTTTCGTCTTCCTCCTTTCCAAGCTGAGACGCAAAACTCGGCGGCATTGTAATGATAAATTCAAACGCGCGTCCTTTTTCCGTTCCTGCGATCCTCGTAGCAATATTATCGAGTTATTAAATTAACCAGCGAAGACACGAGACACAAACACACGATGCAGAGACGCGTAGACATTTGTATTTTAATGAAAACAATATTATTGGTTGGTGCGAGGATATAATGAAAACTACTTGTACTTTCCTGAGAAAGCTAGAGATTGTTTAAATAAAAAAAATTCATATAAAAAAAGAGCTACCGATCCTGCTAATCCGTTGAAATAGTTTATTGATTATTCCATATCCTACAAAAGAAATATAAGTTAATCTAGATTTCTAAACATCTTCAAAATTGAAGAACAGAACGTCGGGAAAATGCCAGCGAATCTAGTCATTTAATCAATTTTATTTTATTAATATACAGGGTGCACAAAATAAACTTCGGCATTTATGGTAGATAATACATTCACAGCATTTCGAGTAAAAAAGCCATAGTAAACGCAGGTTGAAAGCTCAACCGTTTCCGATACTTTTAAAGACCGACATCCTTACGGAAGTTCGCGTTCTTGTTAATATTGAAGTGATTAAGAGTAAAAAAACTGATAATATTGTACTAATTTTATGATTTATTAGTTTTGTAGACGTGTTTATCTGTGTATATGCATTCTCAAAACTCAATAATACTCGATTTTTCTTTAAAATTGTGATTTCAGTGTTATCGTCAAAGTTTGATTATCAACAGAGATGATAACTACAGAGAAAAAATTGTAATTTTTCGGCAATATGTGTAGAATATTATATTATAGCTTTACAAATACGCATATTTATTTATGGAGCATTCATGTAATAAAAAAATCATGAATTTAATAATGTATTAGCCAAATATTTATGCTAATAATAAGAAATTTATATCAATCGATAACGTCAGCGTTCTTCAATTATCTCCGGGCCCTTGGGGCCCTTTTTGTATCGCCGAAAATTTGCCCAGGGTCTTTTAATAGTATCTCATCGGTCGTCCTACGTGTTTTATCTTAGGCCGGAATCAGACTACGCATTGAAGATTGAGGTTGAAGATTGAAGATTGAAATTTGACCAATAAGGACAAAGAAATTTTAGCTCCTTTCGTTTCGATTGTCAAATTTGAATTTTTCAATCTTCAATCTCAATCTTCAATGCGTACTCTGATTCCGGCCTTAAGTCCGTATCAGACTACCGACTCTGCAAGCCGACCCGTATCAGACTGCCAACTCTGGCTGTTGATCAATAATGGACCAATCACATTGAATCTATGACTACGTTTACATCGTGCATTTAGGCCGCGGCCTATACAATAGATGTCCTTGTTTATCCTGTAGGTTAAACAAAGACACCTATCGTATAGG